AGGAGAACCTTGACCACTGCCAGATCCGCCCTCTCCGTGAGAAGAAAAAGAGTAATTTTGATGAATTTAATAAAAATAAAATGTTAGAAAAGTAAATTTAATTAGGAGTAGGCATAATATATAAACATTTATTATCTAAGCCTTATAAATTTGAAATATGACCGAACAAAGAGAAAGCAAGACTTAAGATTTAAAAGAAGATCAACTAAGAAAACCGACATGGCTTGATGTTCTTCCTTACTTCCTCCCAACTGTTTTAACATTTGTAGCAATAGTATGCAGCTATAAGTACAATTATTTCTCTATCGGTCCATATCTCAGTTTTGTTGTCATTCCTTTGATAGACAGCTATATAATGCCTGAGAATCATAAAAATTTAAAGGACAAAGAATTAAGAGGATTTGAAAAGGATGATAGATTCCTCCTACCCCTTTACTCTCACTACATTTTGGAATACTTTTTCCTCTATTCTAATCTCTACTATATCGGATAAGGCGTCATAGGAATTACTGTATCCCAATTTCTCGGCCTTTTAGTTGCTCAAATATCAAGTGGTATTGCAAGTGGAGCAATAGCTCACGAATTACTTCACAGAAAACCACTAAGAGATAAAATTTTCGGAACCTTGATTTTCAGCAGATTTTTCTATGGGCATTATTTCATTCAGCATGTGAGTTCACATCATAAAATGGTAGCTACAGTTCACGATGCCTCAACAGGTAGACTTGGTGAAGGTTTCTGGACTTATTTTGGAAGAGCTTTGACCCAAGGAGTTGAAGTAAGTTGGGAATTTGAGAAAAATAGACTTGCATTAGTTAAGAAATCACCATACACCCTAGAGAATAGGCTGTTCTCATTTGTTACAGGTTAAACTATTTATTTTGTTGCAATACTGATCATATTTGGACAAAAAGCCTTCATTTTCCATGTAGTATTAGCATTCTTAAGTATGTTTGCACTTGAGGTAGTTAATTATGTTGAGCACTATGGCTTAGAAAGAAAACAAGACAAGAATGGAAATTATGAATCAATAAAAAACAAGCATGCCTGGAATACTCCTGAGTATTAATTTCAAATTGCAGAGACACTCAGATCATCACTGTAATGTTTACAAACCTTACTAGATTCTAAGCAGTTTCGAAGAAAGCCCAATGATGCCATGTGGAAACCTATTAGCGACAAGTATTGCTGCTTTCCATCCATCTGACTGGTCTAAACTTATGGATCCATTAGCTATAGCATATAATTCAAATGAAAAAGTGACTGATGAGCAGAAAAAAATTGCTGAGGGTATTGTTTTCAAACATAATCTGATCAATGCTCTCTTGGTAACATATCTCTGCTTCTTCTGAAATAATTCGATTTATGATTTGATTACTTAAATTACTTTAATAAATATCCTTAATTCGTAAGATTAAATATTTATTATAAGTATTGCATCCAGGGGTTTTGGGGTTTTGGGG